ATTCTCCAACAACCCTTTCCCAATTCCAGGGATCCCACATTTTTGCATTCTATTCGCATTTTCCTCTTGCGATCTCTGAGACAACGAGTCACATATAAAAATACGTACAGCGAAGTAGAGAGAGAGAGATGTGGCGGTGCGTGTCTCGTCGCCTTGGCATTCCTTCAACGAGATCCATCTCCGGCGAATCCCTCGGACCTCACTTTGATAGACTCTTCTCCACACAATCCGTGCGACCTCTCGCTTCGATTTTCGATTCTCATCTGCTCGAATCTCAGGATTTTAATGCTTATATCGATTATATCTTTCATAGATTCCATTTTTTCCTTAAATTTATGCTCTTAATGATCACAAGGCTCGTTAAGTTCGTAACTGATGTTTACCTTCGTTTATTGCTTACTGAGTTACACCTCTTAATATACGGTACTTGATAATTTGAAAATTTATATACAATCTATCTATACATAAAAAATATGTTGCAATATATACTTTTGCGTTTACGTTACGTAGCTTAGTTCTCCGTAAAATGTATGAGAGAATCGTAGTTAGTAATCTTTTGTTTCTGTGATTTGTGTCTAGCAGAATGTGGGAGTTTCATCATATACCGTCGTTGATCATACCTACGATGCAGTTGTGGTAGGAGCAGGCGGTGCTGGGCTCAGAGCGGCGATAGGGTTGTCTGACCATGGTTTCAAACACCGCTTGCATTACAAAGCTCTTCCCTACTCGTTCACATACCGTTGCGGCTCAGGTATGGTAACTTTAACTCTCTGAATATATGTGGGCCAGTTTATCTAATTGTTCATGCATGTTATATAAAATCCACTTTTGTTGATGCACATTGTATGTATCCTAATTTGTGGCACAATTTACTAGACTATAGGTTTTTGTACCTTTCAATTATTTGTTGTGTTCTCTGAATTTTGCTGTAAGTGTGAATGTTGATCTCTGCTGTCTATATGCAAGCTGATGTGTGGTTGAGCTTACACAACTAGAAATTTTACATTGTATGTTGGAGGGATGCTAGTGTGGGAAATTTGAATTCATATCAATCCTTATGGTGTAGCACTGTCAGGTTGCATTTTGATGTATATATATTTGTTATGGTGTTATGTTTTTTATTTTTTATTTTATTTGATGAATTGGATTTCATCTGAATTGATTGGATGTGCTAATTCGAATATGGGCACATATAAGATTGGGATGAATTAGGATACCAAAAGGGTTATAGCAATGCCAGATGGGTGAGTCCAACATTAGATGGGGTCACTATCAATCCAATAGCTAAGGCATTAGGTTCCTAAGTTAGGTTCAAGTAGTATTATGGAAAGGGATATTAGAATTAATAACGATGCTTGGGCAACTAAAATTTTTCCTTCCATAAATTTCAATGATATCTGATCACGTCCTTGTATCAATTCCACTCGTAGATTAATTTTATGACTGTAATTCATTAGATTGTGGTCTTAGTTGATTTTTTAATATAGATTCTCTCAAATACTGAGGCAAACCCATTTATTTTAATTACCTCAATTGTATGGCAACCCTAAATTCTTCCTCTATTAACGATTTGTATGAACTCAATGATTACTTTTTAGGAAGTTTGCTCGCATTAACTAATTGCTTCATATTTATAATGGGGGATCAAACTTCTCTACTGGCCTCTCATTATAGAAATTTACAGTTTATGCACTGATTGTGGGAATGTTTTGTCATCTTTTCCTTGTGGATAAAAGATTGTTCTATTGCTGACATAAACCAATCCCAGAAACTCAATGGTATGACATTTGTCATTTTTGACTCTTAAGCATTATTTGTTTTCAATTTTTTTTGAGACTTTGAAGACAATCCTTTGTCTGTTTGTTAACTTGTGCACAAAATAGTGCTTTTATATTCAACTCATCCCAACTAAATGCCTTATCCTAACATTTTGGAGGTTGACTACATTTTAGTGCCTTTCTCTTGGTGACAAATTTGTATTTTGTACATTGTTGTGTTTACGAAGTCATTTAGCAGGTTTTCACCTTCACTTTGGATGTTATGATATCTACTTTCTTTGCTTGTAGCAAACATATTGGATCTAGACTATGAAGCAGCTTCATAGTCTAGATCCAATATGTTTGCTACAAGCAAAGAAAGTAGATATCATAACATCCAAAGTGAAGGTGAAAACCTGCTAAATGACTTCGTAAACACAACAATGTTACAAAATACAAATTTTTGTCACCAAGAGAAAGGCACTAAAATGTAGTCAACCCCAAAATGTTAGGATAAGGCATTTAGTTGGGATGAGTTGAATATAAAAGCACTATTTTGTGCACAAGTTAACAAACAGACAAAGGATTGTCTTCAAAGTCTCAAAAAAATTGAAACAAATATGCTTAAGAGTCAAAAATGACAAATGTCATACCATTGAGTTTCTGGGATTGGTTTATGTCAGCAATAGAACAATCTTTTATCCACAAGGAAAAGATGAACAAACATTCCCACAATCAGTGCATAAACTGTAAATTTCTATAATGAGAGGCCAGTAGAGAAGTTTGATCCCCCATTATAAATATGAAGCAATTAGTTAATGCGAGCAAACTTCCTAAAAAGTAATCATTGAGTTCATACAAATCGTTAATAGAGGAAGAATTAAGGTTGCCATACAATTGAGGTAATTAAAATAAATGGGTTTGCCTTCAGTATTTGAGAGAATCTATATTAAAAAATCAACTAAGACCACAATCTAATGAATTACAGTCATAAAATTAATCTACGAGTGGAATTGATACAAGGACGTGATCAGATATCATTGAAATTTATGGAAGGAAAAATTTTAGTTGCCCAAGCATCGTTATTAATTCTAAATATCCCTTTCCATAATACTACTTGAACCTAACTTAGGAACCTATGCCTTACTATTGGATTGATAGTGACCCCATCTAATGTTGGACTCAACCCATCTGGCATTGCTATAACCCTTTTGGTATCCTAATTCATCCCAATCTTATATGTGCCCATATTCGAATTAGCACATCCAATCAATTCAGATGAAATCCAATTCATCAAATAAAATAAAAAATAAAAAACATAACACCATAACAAATATATATACATCAAATGCAACCTGACAGTGCTACACCATAAAGGATTGATATGAATTCAAATTCCCACACTAGCATCCCTCCAACATACAATGTAAAATTTCTAGTTGTGTAAGCTCAACCACACATCAGCTTGCATATAGACAGCAGAGATCAACATTCACACTTACAGCAAAATTCAGAGAACACAACAAATAATTGAAAGGTACAAAAACCTATAGTCTAGTAAATTGTGCCACAAATTAGGATACATACAATGTGCATCAACAAAAGTGGATTTTATATAACATTCATGAACAATTAGATAAACTGGCCCACATATATTCAGAGAGTTAAAGTTACCATACCTGAGCCGCAACGGTATGTGAACGAGTAGGGAAGAGCTTTGTAATGCAAGCGGTGTTGAAACCATGGTCAGACAACCCTATCGCCGCTCTGAGCCCAGCACCGCCTGCTCCTACCACAACTGCATCGTAGGTATGATCAACGACGGTATATGATGAAACTCCCACATTCTGCTAGACACAAATCACAGAAACAAAAGATTACTAACTACGATTCTCTCATACATTTTACGGAGAACTAAGCTACGTAACGTAAACGCAAAAGTATATATTGCAACATATTTTTTATGTATAGATAGATTGTATATAAATTTTCAAATTATCAAGTACCGTATATTAAGAGGTGTAACTCAGTAAGCAATAAACGAAGGTAAACATCAGTTACGAACTTAACGAGCCTTGTGATCATTAAGAGCATAAATTTAAGGAAAAAAATGGAATCTATGAAAGATATAATATCGATATAAGCATTAAAATCCTGAGATTCGAGCAGATGAGAATCGAAAATCGAAGCGAGAGGTCGCACGGATTGTGTGGAGAAGAGTCTATCAAAGTGAGGTCCGAGGATTCGCCGGAGATGGATCTCGTTGAAGGAATGCCAAGGCGACGAGACACGCACCGCCACATCTCTCTCTCTCTACTTCGCTGTACGTATTTTATATGTGACTCGTTGTCTCAGAGATCGCAAGAGGAAAATGCGAATAGAATGCAAAAATGTGGGATCCTTGGAATTGGGAAAAGGGGTTGTTGGAGAATTGGAGGAAGGTGCCGGCTTTAGTTCGAAATATTTTGTACAA